CCCCTCCAGGTTGTTCCTGCATTTCTTACCATGAAATTATTTTGAACCCATCAGAATGTAAGCTTCTTGAGGGCAGGGACTGTGTTTTTGCCTTTCTGTGTATCCTTAGTGCTTAGCACAGCTTCTGGCCCCTAGTAGATGCTTAACCAATGTTTGTTGACTGAGAGGATTGAACTAGTGTATAATACATACACACACACATGTGTACACACATATAATATACACACTAAATGTATGTATATATGTATGTGTGTGTATGTGCATACATACACACTGTAAGTCTAAGAAACGTGTGTATACACACACAGAAACATAACATGTATTGTGCATGTATAGACATATAAACAACATGTATGTGTATGTATATACACATGTTGTTTCCCTGCTAAGTAGACTGCAAGATCCTTGAGGGCAGGGACTGTTTGGTTTATGTCTTTGTATCTCCAGCAGCTAGCATGGCACCTGGCACATAGCAGATACTCAACAGGTATTGGTAGAATCGAACATTAGGTTCTTTGGTGATTTACTGGGCCAAATCCCATCCCAGCCTCCTTTTGTGCTACCTGGAGCTAAGAACAGTTTTCACATTTTAAAATAAAATTTTACTGTATTCAAAAATATTAAAAATTAAAATTATAATTAAAAAATAAAAATAAAAAAAACATTCTTAGCTCGAGGGGAAGAATGAAAAGCAGGGTAGAGTGGGGTAGGCCTTTATCCTTGTAATAGATCATAGAGCCTTAGAAGTGGAAGGGACCTAAATTAGAAGTCATCTAAAACTTTACTCAATCTAAGGACCCCCCCAAGAATGCCCTAGTGCTCCCCACTGTTCCCCAAGAAAGACCATGAGACTAGTCAATAAAGATACTTGATTTCTGCCACTGACCTTGAGGAAAATCACTTCCCTACTTTGGGCATCAGTTTCTTCATCAGTCAGATGGAAAGACTAATCCTGCCCTGCCTCCCTCTCAGGGTTGTTTTGAGGTTCCAGTGAGATCATAGCTGTCTATCAAAGGATTCTGAATACCCTACAAATAATAATCATTCTTGCTGTTACTTCAGCCCTTTCCAGAAAGCCTAAAAGAATCAGGATTGTTCCTAGGGGTCTTCTGTTGGCAAGGAGGCAACTTGAAGACCTCCAGCATTTGGGGAGCTCATTACCTCTTTTTTTTTTAAAGGCAATTGGGGTGAAGTGACTTGCCCACGGTCACACAGCTAGTAAGTATCAAATGTTTGGTCTGAGGCTGGAGTTGAACTCAGGTCCTCCTGACTTCAGAGTCAGTGCTCTAGCCATTGCACCCTCTAGCTGCCCCAAGCTTGTTACCTCTTGAGGCTTCCTATTTCACCCTAATTATAGGAAGATTCTTATACAGAGCTTCACTCAGATCTACCTCCTTGTCATTTCCTCCCATTCTTCCTCGTTCTGCTCTTTGGGGCTAAGCAGAACAAGATTGTTCTCTCTGCCCCAGGATGTCCTGCCAAATGCTTTCAGACTCACAGAATCCCAGAGCTGGCCAGGATCTCAGAGGGCATGTAGGCTAACATACAACTAAACAGAAATCTTTGTCTTCAAAGATCTGAAGGGATGTCACATGGAAGAAAGATTAGATGTGCTCTGCTTGCCCCTCACAGGCAGAACTGGGAGGAATCAGAAGAAGCTGTGGAGGGAGAGCCTCCCCAAGGAGTGACCATCCAGCCTTTGCTTGGAGTTCTCCAAGGATGAGGAGGTCACGACCAAATTCCATGGTTGGGACTGCTCACATTAACTGGACATTTTCCTTTCCATTGAGTTAAACTCTTTTTCTCTACCACTTCCTCGTAGGGCCTAGTACAAGTTCATTATTCTGTCTTCCACGTAACAGCCCTTCAAATCTTTGAAGGCAATGACACTATCCCTCAAACACCATCTTCTCCTTAGCCTTAACACCCCTTGTTTTTGATGTTTTTTCCTCCTTCCACGAGGTACTATGAGTAGTAGCCTTGAGCAAGTCACTTCACTTCTATGGGCCTCAGTTTCCTCATCTGTAAAATGGGGCTAATAATAGTCCCTGCTTCTCAGTTGGATTTGAAGGCAAATAAGCTGATATTTGTAAAGCACTCTGCAAACTTTCAAACGATATATAAATGCCAGTTTTGATGATGAGGATGAGGATGTTAGCTTTGTTGGTTTCCACATCGCACTATGGAGTCTCATTGAACTTTCAGCCCACTTTTAGACTGAGGTCTTCTTCATTAAAACTACTGTGCAGCCAAACCTCCCCCATCCTGTGTAGTGAGACAGGTGATTTTTTTTTGGGGGGGGTGGAGGAGTTCATTTATTTTTATCTGTTTCATCTTGTTAGATTCTGCCCATCATCTTTGCTTTTATGGATTCTAGTTTCTCCCGCATGGCTAAAATTCTAAGACTCTTCCCATGACCCAACCCAGAAGACTCAGGACTTTTCCTCTCACTCCTCTCCTGGGACTCCTCTCTCTCTCTCTCTCTCCATCTATCTTCTAGGGCAGCACAGGGCAGTTACAGTGCTCTGGTGGGAGTTATTCTTCGGGTAGGACAAGGGCTATAGTCTCCATTACTCAGACTGATAAAGGCTTTCCCAAGCTCTCTTAGCTGCTACAATAAAATCATCATATTTAGAGATAGACGAGACCTTAGACATTTTCTATTCCAACTCCTTGATTTTACAGAGCATAAAACCAAGGCCTAGAATGGGGAAGGGACTTTCCCCATGTCACCTAATCACTGAGTAGGAGAATGGAGATTTAAAGCCAGGGCCTTGGATTCCAAATTCAGCATTTTCCATGCTGCCTTTGTCAGTGAGTCTCTCCTCCCTCCTTGACCATTGTTACAATCATTCTCTTTTTGTTTCCCTAAACCCAGGCAGAGTCTGCCCAAGTCACTGGAGATGGGAGGTCCTTTTTAGTTTGTTCACCCCTTTTAGCTTCAAGTAATAGTGCCTCTCCTTAAAAACTCCAAGTTGGAAGCATCCACTGGACTCTGCCCATAGAAATTATCTCTCTAAGCTTCTCTGGGACACAAAGCTGCTCCTAGATCAAGTAGGTGGGGTTATTTGGAGACAGTGAAAGAAACCATCAAGGTCTGAATGAATTGGATGGATTCTAAGGACCCTAAGAGAGCAAAGAGATCAGAGTGAGTTGGAGAAGTCAAGGAAGACTTCCTAGAAGAAATGGGCTTTGAAGAATGACTAAAAGAGCAGTTCAAACCAACACATCATCAGTACTAATTATTTTTCTATAAACTATATATAAAGGAATTCAGAAGAGGGAACTATCAGTTTTGGCTGGAACCCTCAAAATATCTGGAAAGGAAGTTGCCCAAGGCTGACTGGACCCTTTAGAATTAACCATCTTTCCTTCCTAGATCAGGAACTGGGGGATGGAGCAGGAGTAGGGATATCAAAATGGGAGAGAAATTTATAGGGACTGGGGAAGCTAGGTTCCTCACAGAATCACAGAACTGGAAAGTAGGAAAGAGGGTAGCTAGTTCCATCTATACCTCTAGTGAGTAACTGACATTTATTTACACGGATGCCTTAAATTTTGCAAACATTTTTACATGGTCTTATTTGAGTCTCAGAACAAGTCCACCAGGTAGGTACTTCCTTCTCTAGTGGATTAGGCAAACAGAGGTTAAATAACTTGTCCAGGGTCACACAGTTAGTGAGTGTCTGAGGCTGAATTTGAATTCAGGTCTTCCTGACTCTAAGCCCACTGAGCCATCTAGCTGCCTGGTGTTACTATATAGATGTGGAAAGCAAGGCTTAGAGAAGCTGTTACTTTCTTATGGTCACTCAACTACTGAGTGTCAGAATCAGGATTTGAACCTAGGTCTTCTTGATTCCAGGATTTGAGCCTCTACATCATTCTAGTAATATCTTTCTCCTTCCCAGATCTTCACCCAGCCTCAGCTTGAAGACTTCAATTATGGGGAACTCACTATCCCAAAAGGTAGCCCACCAGGTCAGAGTAGGTGCAGTCATAGCATCCTTGTCAGCTCTAAATCTGTGACCCTCCTACTCCTTTTAGAAAATTCATTGTAACCCAGACTTTGTATTGAGTCAAAATCTGCCTCTGCAGTTTCTTCCCTTTGCTTCCAGTTCTGCCCTCGGTAACAAGCAGAAAAAGTCTTATCTTTCCTCTCCCTGCCAGACCTTCAAATACATAGAGACAGTTATCATGTCCTCCCACTCATCAACCACCAAGTCATAAATCTCTTTCTGGGCTAAGTATTCTTTCCGTGATTCACCTATGGCCGGATCTCGACTCCGCTCTCCAAGCCGGCAGCCCTCCAAATGTAACAGTTCCACTTGTCACTATCTTTCCTTTATATAGCCCTTGCCTTTTGCACCAAGCTAAACTCCATGTCTGGGACCCTCTTGCTCCTCACATCCGCATATCAGACTGAACTCCTTCCTATAACGCTCAGCTTTTACTATCTCCTTCAACCAATCAATCAACAAGCATTTATTAAATGTTTGCCGTGATTCTCCCTAATTGTGAGTGTGCACTCATTTTCCCCTTCCCCCCATTACGTTAATCTTGCATGGATTTTTTATTCACTTGTCTGCTTAGGTGTTATTTTCCCACCAGTAGAATGCAAGCTCCTTGAGGGCAGCTTCTATTTCATTTTTGTCTTTGTATGTCCGATGTCCAGCACCGAGGCTTGTTGAATTAACTAGATGGAACAGAGTGGAACGGAATTGGTGAGGAGAGTGGAGAAGGGAAGAGGAGGCTGTGGCAGACAGGAAGCTGGGCTAGAGAGACTGTGGTAAGGGGTCTTTCCTCGAATACTTGGGTCCCTCCCTTTCTCCTAGAGCGGGACAGAGGAAGAACAGGGACCTAGACTAGGACCGACGGACAGAGGGGGCGCCCTGAGCTGCGGGATCCCGGGGCGGGTTGGGCCAGGTCGGGGGCGGGGCTGGAGCAGAGACAAGAGCGCGGGACTCGGGACTGAGCCTGGGAGCAGGAAGCTGCCGGGGCAGCAGCAGTAGCAGTAGAGTAGCAGCCGCAGCAGCAGAGAAAGGAGGGACGCGAAAGGAACGCAGAGCAGGCTTTGGGCCGGGTGAGCTGGAGATCCTGGCGCAAGTGACCAGTCTCCTGGGATGAAAGAGGGAGGGGCTGGGTGTGCATGCGTGTGTGTGTGTGTTCCTTCCCATCCAACTTTATTAGTGTGCTTATATGTGTGCGGCTGTGTGAGCGCATTTGTGAAATGTGATCATTTGTGTAATTACGATTATGTTCACCAACGTCTGTGTGTGATTGTGTCTCATAGTGAGGATGTCTTGTGTCTGTCCGACTTTATAAGTGCGTCTGCAGTTTTATCTCTATGCGAATGAGTGCGTTTTTGAGATGATTATTTGTGTAACTGTAATTGTGTCTCACTATGTATGTCGCATGAGCGTGTTCGTGTGTGTCCATGTGCTTTTGTCAGAGTTCTTATATATTTGTATAATTGTGACTGTGCAATTGTCACTTTGTGTGTGCCTTTCCTTCCTTCCCTTCCTCCCCCAAGAATCATACCTGTAAAGGGTGTGTAAATTGTGGTGTGCTATTGGGGCTGCGCTATCCCAGTCTGCCTGGGTCTGGCCTATTTAAGACTGAGAGAAGATAGGGAGCGGGGTGTGCTAGCGTCCGCTGGACTGGGGGCAGGTGGATTGAGTGCATGGGTCATGAAGGCTGATCCTGCTCCCGATATCCCCGCTCCGCTTGACGACTGCCTCTTCACGTGCGCCCCACGCTCCATGCCGGTTCCCTACGTCTTGGTCTGGGCCGTCTTGTAGGGCGAGCAGAGGTCTCTTCAGGCTTCCTCACTTCTGGCCTCTGCCCTCCCAGCCCCTCCCCACAGCGAGTTTAGCCCCGTTTGCCCCACCCTGCCCTCCAGGGAGCTTTAGTTTATGCCACACACGTTATACACACGTGCTCACATGCGCCCTCGGGACACGACATACATGATAGTTTAGCCTAGAGGAAATGACTCCTGTGCTAGGAGTCTGGAGGTCTGGGTTCGAGTCAGTTCTGATACAGATGGGCCATGTGACTTTGATAAGTCCTTGCCCTCTGGGGCCTTCCTCCCAAACGAAAGTGGGGAAAAGAATGTTTTCTATGCCTGGTGTCACCACAGCAGGTGTCTGCGTAAATATGTGAGGAATTGGCTGGACACACAAACTCTGTCAGGGACCTAAAGGATTATATGTTCATAAGCCTTAGGGCTGCAAGGGATCCTAGAGCTTCTCTAGTCACAGAGCGAGAAACTGAGGCCCACTGAGGAGGAGGGGACATACTTCAGCATCATAACAGCCTGTACCAGATCCTCTTTTGCCACTTCTGCCACACTGCTTCCTCTAACTCCCCTGCTCCGTCCCCAGCCTCTTTCCTCTTTGGGCGCTGCTAGTGGGGAGACCCAGAATTGAAAAGAGTAAGACCTGGCTTGTCCCTCATTTGGTTGGTGGGAACTCTCTGACTCTTCAGGGATTCCTCAATGCCGGTTCCCTGTAAATCGATTCTAGAGCTAGCAAACAGGTAGCTTCCACCAGGTCCACTGTTTAAGGTATTATCTGTTGTTTTGATTTATTCATTATTTCTATTTGGGCATTATCAGTTTTGGAATGAGCCAGTTTTTAAAATTTCTGTTATTTTTGGATAATTTGCTGTTTTGAATTGTTGTTATGGGTTATTGTTTTGTTTCTTTTTTCTTTGTATCTTTATTATCTAGTACAGTGCCTGACATATAATGGGAGTTTAATAAATGTTTGTTCAGTTTAGACTTTTCATTGTTTTTTGATCTTTACTGCCTTTTTATTCTTTGCTATTTTGAATTAGCCATTCTTGTAGATAATTCTTGATTTCAGATTAATGGGTTTTTTCCCTCATTTTTGTTGCTTTAGATTATCAGATGTTTGAGATTATGCTTTTTTTGTATGTTAAGATTTAAAAAATTTTTCTGCCCTTTGGGGATTGTTGCGTTTGGGATGATCTATTTAGGCATCACTTAGTTTGGGGTGGGGGGTCATTGATTTTTATTGCCCAAGTGCTAGGGGAAGCTCTATGGCTGGAGGGTGCACCCTATGGCCCCTAATGTAGATGCTTTGGAAGGGCAAGAAGGCAAGGAGGAAAAGGAATTATGTCCTCTGGGTACTCAGGGATACAGGCCTATAAGGCCCTGTAAGTACCCTCTAAAGGGCCCTGGGAGAGGAATGGAGCTTGTAATGTGCCTGCATCCTGGGAGCTGAAGAAGTTTGGAAGAAAAGGAAGTGAGGGTAGGGAATACACCTTTGGGTAAAGCCGAGTTGTGGTCAGTTCCAGTAGACATGTAGAGACTGAGTTCTTCCCAAGAACCCAGACCAGGGATGTCCTGTGGGAGGAAGAAGAGATCTGGGTATGGCCTTTTTTAAGCTCCCTCTCTGGCTGGAGAGATTAGACTACTTACTGGACCAGCAGAGGGCTGAGCTTTCAGCGCTTGAAATCCAAAGACCTGGGTTCAAATCCTGCCTCTGGTACTTAGTAACGATTGTGACCATAGCCGATTTATTTAAACTACTCTGAGCCTCAGTTTCCTCACATGTAAAATGAGGATACCCATAATACCCTACTTCACAGACTTTCTGTGAAGCTTAAATGAGATGATGTATGTAAAGTGCTTTGCAAACAGTAAGGGCTATAGGAATGTCACTTATCTTTGCTCTGCTTCTGAGGCTGTGTGACCTAGGTTCAGTCCCTTTCCCTCTCTGGCCCTCAGCTTTCCTGCCAGTAATACGAAGGCATCCGTAAAATGGGGCAGCTAGGTGGCACAGTGGATAGAGTGCCAGACCTGGAGTCAGGAAGATGTCTCTTCCTGAGTTCAAATCCAGCCTCAGACACTTACTAGCTGTGTGACCCTAGACAAGTCACTTAACTCTGTTTGCCTCAGTTTCCTTACCTGTAAAATGAGCTGGAGAAGGAAATGGCAAACCACTCCAATATAGCTTTATCAAGAAAACCCCAAATGAGCTTACAAAGAGTCAGACATGAACAAAATGACTGAAAAACAACACTTTGAGGAGCTTGGAAGAGATAGGATCGAAGTTCTCTCCCAGTTCTGACATCCTGAGTTAATTTCTAAGTTAATTCTAAGATTAATCATTGAACCAGTATTTATGAAGCACCCACCGTATTCTAGCCACTGTGCTATGTCCCTGCCCTCAGAGAATTTATGTTCTAATGGGATATAAAACATACAGGATATCCAAAAGTTTCAGTGCCATAAACTGGCACTTTAAGCTTTAAGCTATAGAAGTTTAAAACAGCACTAGGGAAAAAAAAACAAACAACACTGAGACTTTGGGGAGACTTTGCATGTATAAACACAAAATGTATGCAGAGTTTTTAGAAGGTAACTAACTGATAATAGGAAGTCACTGAAAAGTGAATCTTGACAATGTGAGAGGTGGACAAGTGGACAAGTCACTTTGTCTAGATAGGCCTCAGTTTCCCCATCTGTAAACTGAGGAGATTGGATTAAGAGGGGTCTCTCCCAACTCCAGAGGTAGGAGCCTGTGATCCAGTCCTGGATCTTGTATTTTGGGCTCTATTAAAAACAGGGGGAGATCACTGTGGGCTGGGGTGGTCAGGGAGGGCTTCCTGGAAGAGATAGTACTTGAATGGCAGCTTCATAAGGTAATGAGTTTCCCATCATTGGAGATCTTCAAGTGAAGGTCAGATGACTTCGTATCAGAATATCAAGAGACGGGATTCCTAGCTAGACATGGGTTGGATTAGATGTCCTCTAATGTCCCTTCTGGCTCTGAGATTCTATGATCCTGGTATGTGGGAAAGGGAGGATGGGAGTGGAGGAGATGGAGGGAGGGAAGTTGGTGGAGGGACTCCAAAGGGAAAGGGTCCTCCAGTAGGGAAGCATGGCCAGGAGCTGCAGGAGGATTGCCTAACAGGTGGGCTTAAGGCTGGAAAGATTATCTGGCAGCAGGTGCCAGGGATAGGGGGACTGAGGCTCAGGTCAGTGGTGCCAGAAGAACTTTGGGGTAGGTAGCTTGGAGCCAAGGGCTGGGCACGGGGCCAGCCTGGGCAAGCTGGGACAGAAAGAACTGGTGCCTCTGAATAAGAGATCTGTTAGTGTAGTAGAAAGTGCTGGGCCAGGAGGCCTGAGTTCTAGGCCCTGCTCTGCTACTTCCTACCTGGGTGACCCCAGGGAAATCAGATCTCAGTGAGCCTCAGTTTCCTCATCTATAAAACTGAGGTAATGACGCATCTTACCTGGGGCTGTTGTGGGGAAATCACCTTAAAAGCAACATGGAAATGTGAGGCTTTTTTATCTTTTTTTTTTTTTGATCTCAGAGCCAGAAGGAGCCTTGGGCAAGTCACTACTTTCTGAACTTCAATTTCCTCATCTGCAAAATGTAGGGGTTGGACTAGATGACCTCTAGGGTCCTTTTGGGCTTGACATCTATGATTCTTTGGTTCTATGATCTCAGATAGCATCTTGTCCAATCTCTTTCCCTTCCCAGCCTCCCTAGCAATCAGTAAATCAACCAGCATTTATTTAGCTCCTGCTGTGTGCCAGGCACTGGGCTAGGCTCTGGGGATACAAGTACAAAGAATGAAACAATTCTTATGCATAAGTAGCTTACATTGTAATGGAGGAGACCACAAGTACATAGGAAAACTTTTTTTTTTCCCACAAGTGCATAAGAAAATTTATGCGGGATAGTAATAACTCGTTTATATAGTACATCAAAGTTTGCAAAGCTCTTTACAAACTTGACTCATTTGATCCCTCATAGTAACCCTGGCAGATAGGTGGTATTATTGTCCCCATTTTACAGATGAGAAAACTGAGGCAGACAGTGGTTAAGTGACGTATCCAGGGTTACATAGCGAATGTCTGAGGTCAGATTTGAACTACGGTCTTTCTGGCTCCACAGAACTCTAGTCAATGTGCCACCTCGCTGTCCCTGAATAATTACAAGGAGATAACAAAGTAGTTAAAGACAAGGTCGCTTGGGGTGGAAGGCATCAGCACATGAGGGCTAGGAGAGGGTTCATGTAGAAGGCAGTGCCTGAGCTGCTTCT